CGGGACACTGTCCCGAGCCCTTGCATCAGCAGCCATGCTTTATATCTGTGTCCTTCACTGCTGTGCATGTGCCATTAACTTGTTGATCACACAGTTGGGGGGCTTGGCAGGGTGCCCGGGCGCCATCTTGGGCACTCCCGCATGGGCCCGCTCTCCACATCTCCCCCTTTTTGTTTTTGTGATGACTGGGGGATCAGGTCTGTCTTAGGTTGCCCTGGTCCACTCCAAGTCCTTACCCATCATCAGCTAACCCAGCAGTATAGCGGGGCACCTGTCTTAGGATGGTACTTGTGTGCCAAGGTCTTACACGTCATTGACTCTGATCAAGCATATTCAGCCATACTGTAGTGGAGGCTCCCATCTCTATGGCGACTAGGGCCTGGACAATAGCCTGTCTCTGGCTTTGTTGTTGCTTACGTATCCTACACGTGAACCACACCAAACATACACACACCAGAATCAACAAGAAGAACCAAAAAGCCATCCCTCCCCAACTGCACAGCCAAGATACAGTGCTTCTCAAGTAGGACAGAACGTCTTGGACAGTTGCGATTTCTACTCGAGTGTTGTTGACATTCAAGATGGCTGCGCGCAGTTCTCGCACCTTTGAGTCAAATTCTCGAGAGCAGTTTCCTCTAAGATGTTCACTCAGGGCTCGAGACAAATGACTGGCCGCTGAAAAGTTGGAGAACTGATCAGCAGTAACACATAATCCTTGCATCTGATGTATACATCCTACCCGTAGCATTTGCCCAAGCATATCCACCTGTTCCTGTAACACATCTACTCTCTGATTAATCATCAAAATGCCTGCTTTAAGCATGCCATTTATTTGTTCCTGTGCTTCCAAAGCCACAGCTGTCTTTCCTGCCAATTCATTAAGCACAGTAGCAGTCTGTACTCCAGTGGTCAGTGCAACTGCAGCAGCAGTCACAGCACCTGCAGACACTACAATGGCTGCTACTATGGCAGCAATTATCCCAAAATCTCGTTTGGACCGTAACATGACTGCCATATGATCCTCGTCTATACTCACAGGCCAAGGAAGGTTAGTCGGTATTCTGGCAATAATGGCTAAAGGGAAAGCACTACTATTCCAGCAGGGGGTCAAAAAGCAGCACATGGAGGTAATGTTACAATTCAGTTTCATATCACTTACTGCTGTACAATTAGCTACTATAAAAAGAAAAGGTGAAGCAACACATACAGGGGTAGGGGCATAAGTCTCATTTTTCATACGTTATTCTGCTCAAAGCTTACGGATGGATTGAATAAAAAGGAGCAATTCTGAATGGAGCCCCCGTGGATCATGCTCATCAGGCTGATGGTCAGTACAGCTACCATTGATCTCACATAAAAACCAATTATCAAAAGGATTTGATCTGGATGCCAGACTAGGGT